GTAGTATACAGTTACATATTTCACAAAGAAATATTAAGCTAGAGGCCCGGTGCATGATATCCATGCACTGTGGGGGGGCGGGGGATCCCTCAGCCTGGCCTGAACCCTCTCACAGTCTGGGACCCCTAAGCCGACAGGTGGACATCCTCTGAGAGGTCCTTAGCACTGCCGTGGAGGCGGGAGAGGCTCCTGCCACCGCCACTGGGCTCACCAGCCGTGAAACCGACTTCTAGCTGAGCAGCACTCCCCCTGTGGGAGCACACTGACCACCAGGGGGCAGCTTCTGCATTGAACATCTTCCCCCTGGTGGTCAGTGTGTGTCATAGTGACCTGTTGTTCTGCAGTTTGGTCTATTTGCATATAAGGGTTTTATTATATAGGATAAGTATTTTTGTTATTACCTTTTGTTTTTGTATGTTTGCCTGTTTTAAGCTTAGTAGGATCTATGAATTCATACACATTTTTTTTTTTACTTTTTTTAAACTTAACTTACCTTGAAGATCTTCATATTAATATGTGTATCCACCAATCATATTTCATAGTCTCTTAGGAAGGACAGGACTGGTTTTGCTACATTAACAAACAGTCTTATTGCCTTGAAATAACAAAGCTGTAGTTTTTGACCAGGAAACATTCACCTCTCCACTAAGTGGGAGAACTGCCCCATAATGCCCTTGCTCTGGGGCTGAGCCTAAAAGAGGAAGCATCATCTGAAATATTTCTTGTCATGATGGCATGAGAAGAGAACATGGCTAATGATACATTGTCTCTTGACATTTTCCACTCAGAAGTGACACATTACTACCACTTACATTTTCTTAATCAAAGCAAGCCACATGGCCAGGCCTAACTTCAAGAGAGTAGAGAAAAACATTTCTACTATGTGTCCTGAGGAAAATAAGCTGAAAAGATGTATTTGTTCTTTGATTGCCATAGCTTTTCCCTAATTGGTATAACACAGTGAATTTTGTACCTCAAATTCATAGCCATTGTTCAATAATTCCTAAAACTCTGGCAGTTTTCCTCTTAGTGCAGTTATCCTTGCCAATTGTCACAGGTCCTTTAAGGGAAAGCTGAATTTCTTTTTAAAGTTGTGGCAGTATTATAGGTTAATTTTTCTTGAGGAGACTATTTTATCTCCTCATTTAAAGGTGTATAGGTTGGTGAATAAACTCAGGATGTGAGATTGGATGAGAGGTTGTAAGTCTGTTGTGGAAACGTGACTCTATTCATGATCTATGTAGGCTCAGTTCTGTCGATAAAGTAGGACTTTAAATGGCTTCCTATCTATTTTGGTCCTAGAAAAGCCACAATCAAGTAGTCCCATCAAAAGATCTGTGTGGTTAACCATTCTGAGTTACGCTCTAGTCCTATTTCCCATTACAGTCACCAGACTCCACCTGTGTCTGGAAATTGAATGCTGCCACTGGATTGAATTTCTGAGTTTTTGAGAAATTAGAAGTTTGTTGCCATGATGACATCTCTGACTCACCACTGTAGCTTTCAGAGGCCATCCTCTGCAGAGGGGCTTCTGGCTCCTCCCCAATGTCTTCCTCAGTGTTGTGTTGAATGGTACGCATTCTGGTCTTTCCCAGATTCGTATTTAGTGGATGGGTAACCAAGCAACATGTGATAAATACAATCCACCAACACTCCTCTCCAGGACGACTTCAGATTATTTTGCCCTAATATGAAAAGAAGGTCCTGGCATCTCAACTGTAATTAATGTAAAGATTATGAGTCTAGATTTTAGTAAACCAAGTTCAACAAAATATTTGAAAACTTTACATTCTTTAGGATAAATTCCTGAATCCAGAATCTCTGGTCAGGGCACCCATATTATTCGATTTCTTCTACTCTATCTTAGCGTCCCATCATCCTTGGCATGTCTAGTGGATTCTCCTAGGAATTGAATCAAGTTAGAAGTATGCTAGAAATGAGATCTGAAGGGTCTTGAGAAGCACTGACACATCATTATGAGGCTGTCTCCTCAGCTATGGATAGTAAATGTCTTCGGGCAAAGGATTACCTCAGACCCAGAAGAAAGCGCTGCATTGCTGGAAAAATATGCAGCCCCACAGAATTTGGGGTTTTTAAGTATGCAAACTCAGCAGAATCTCTCCAAATTCCCCTATTCCAATTCTCAGGACCCTACAATGTCTTTATCATTGGTATACTTTTAACTTAAGATACATGGTATAGCTTTGACTTCAACATATGCTGTAAGACAAAACATTGAGTGTGATGTTCAGAAACATTAGACTTGAAGTTTTTTAAAAAATATATACTTTATTGATTTTTTACACAGAAGAAGGGAGAGGGATAGAGAGTCAGAAACATCAATGAGAGAGACATATCGATCAGCTGCCCCCTGCACATCCCCCACTGGGGATGTGCCCGCAACCAAGATACATGCCCTTGACCAGAATCGAACCTGGGACCCTTTCGCTGACACTTTATCCGCTGAGCCAATCCAGTTAGGGCTAGACTTGAAGCTTTAAGATAAAATAATGTTCTTT